GAGTGCCTGACAACCTTATCTATCTCCTGAGAAATCTATACGTGAGACAGGAAGCAACAGTTAGAACTGGATATGGAACAACTGATTGGTTCAAAATTGGGAAAGGAGTATGACAATGCTGTATATTGTCTCCCTGTTTATTTCACTTTTATGCAGAATATATAATGCGAAAGGCTGAACTGGATGAATCCCAAGCCAGAATTAAGATTGCCGGAAGAATTATTAAGATTGCCGGAATCAACAACCTCAGATATGTAGATAATACCACTCTGATGGCAGAAAGTGAGGAGGAATTAAAGAACCTCTTAATGAGGGTGAAAGAGGAAAGCGCAAAAATTGTGTGAAGCTCAACATCAAACAAACTAAGATCATGGCCACTGGTCCATGACCTCCTGGCAAATAGAAGGGGAAGATATGGAGGCAGTGACGATTTTACCTTCTTGGGCTCCATGATCACTGCAGATGGAGACATCAGCCACAAAATTAAAAGATGCCTGCTTCTTGGGAGGAAAGCAATGACAAACCTAGACAGCATCTTAAAAAGAGAGACATCACCTTGCCGACAAAGGTCCGCATAGTCAAAGCTATGGTTTTTCCAGTAGTGATGTATGGAAGTGAGAGCTGGACCATAAAGAAGGCTGACCGCAAAAGAATTGATGCTTTTGAATTGTGGTGCTGGAGGAGACTCTTAAGAGGCCCCTGGACTGCAAGGAGAACAAACCTATCCATTTTGAAGGAAATCAACCCTGAGTGCTCACTAGAAGGACAGATCGTATAGCTGAGGCTCCAATACTTTGGCCATGAGAAGACTCCCTGGGAAAGACCCTGATGTTGGGAAAGTATGAAGGCAAGAGGAGAAGGGGATGCCAGAGGATGAGATGGTTGGACAGTGTCATCGAAGCAACCAACATGAATTTGACCAAATTCTGGGAGGCAGTGGAAGACAGGAGGGCCTGGCATGCTCTGGTCCATGGGGTCAGAAAGAGTTAGACATGACTTAACTAAACAACAAAAAGTGCTATTGAACCTGGTGGGATTCAGTTCTTAATAAACATGGTCAGAATTATGCTGGCACACTCTTATTACATATACTGTGACACAACCCATGATTGTCTGATCTCATCTTTGTTTACAATAAGGATGACCATCTCTCACTAGTAAGAAATCTGGAAAATTGCCAATTCATATGTGGCTATAAAACTTTTCAGAGCATGCCAAAAAAGTCCAATAAGAAGTTTAGAAGTACTGTATTACATTTCCTTGTGTGTAAAATAAAAATTTATCTTCACAATATCCCTGGCTGTAGAAAGATTTCTAAATGTCTGTTATATATCTGAGGAATGGAAGTAATGAAAAATGGAAGTAATGAAAAATACAGTATTTATTACACAAACTGGCTGGCTGGTTCAGTGGTTTAGAGGTTGTGAGTTCAGTTCCCCTTTGTGTATGGCTGCAAAGCCAGAGGTTGTGAGTTCAATTCCCCTTTGTGTGTCTTAGAAGAGCCTGCCTGGATGACTCAAGAAGAAGGGTCCATTAAGCCACCTCTGAGTAGTGTCCACCTAGGAAATCCTGTAAAGGGTTGCCATATGTCACATTATTATTATATTAGAATACTGCCTTTGGAATACAGCATACCTTTTAGGGTAAGGAAGATTTTTCTTAATATTGTAATCAACTGACACTTCATC